AAAAAAAAAAAAGGTCAAGAAGGGAGAGGGTTGACATGTTGTGGGGTTGTTAACCAATGTCATGAAACAATATGTGTACGACTGTTTAATGAGAAACTATTTGTTCTGTAAACCTTCACCTGAAGTACAAAAAAAAAAATTAAAAAAAAAAAAAGGTCCATTTTTCTATTTGTTGTTAACTCTAATAAGATGTTTGGGAATTTAATCCATTAACACAGTAATACTCACCTCTCACTTTGCCTTTATTGACGCCTAACAAAACATACTTAAGGATTCAAATGCTGATGTGACAAACTAAAGGTCTACCATGTCATATCACTGATTTCTTCAATGTTCCTTACATAGCCAGATAAATTTCTAATGTCAGGTATTGGTTCACACTGGGCAAAGAAGCCTTAATATGTATAAATAACAGAATAGTCTCAGTATATTCAATGTAATCAAAGTTTAAAATCTGTGAGCTACAACAAAGGAAGGAAAAATGTAGTAGTAAACCTTTTAGACAGTTTATTAAACCAGCAAAGAACACTGTATTTTTCTTTTACTGAGATCCAACTGACATGTCATAAAATTCAACGTGTTAAAATGTAGAAAAGTTTTTAGCATACTCACAAGAGTCCACCACAATCTAATTTTAGAACACTCTGATCACCCCAAAAAGAAACTACATACTCATTAGCAGTCATTACTCATTTTCTCCTTGCCCTAGTTCGTGGCAACCACTAAATTATTTTTTGCCTGTATAGGTTTGTCTATTCTAGACACTTTCAACAAATGGAGTTATATAATATATGGTCCTTTGTGACTGGCTTTTTTCACTTAGCATAATGGTTTTAAGGTTCATCCATGTTGTAGCATATAACAGTCCTTCATTCCTTTTTATTGATGAAAAATATTCCATTGTATAGATATTACCACTATTTCTTTATCCATTCATCAGGTGATGGACATTTGGATTGCTTCCACTTTTTGGCTATTATGGATAATGCTGCTATGAACATTCACGTGCAAATTTTTGTGTAGTCATATAACTTCATGGCTTGGGCCTCTATCTAGGGTCATACGGTAACTCTATGTTTAACATTTTGAGAAACTACCTGTTTCCTAAAGCAACCACACCATTTTATGATCCTTCCAGCAATGTATGAGGGTTTCGACTTCTCCACATTCTCAAATACTGCATTTTAAATAAGAAGTAAATGCTTATATACCTGGACTGAAGAGTACTATTGCCTTCAGGTAGGCATATTCATATCCATCTATGCAGAGTTTAACCATGCTGTTACAAAACTCCTGTAGTTTGAAGATGTGATCCATTAATAGTTTTCTTTTTTCTGTTGACATTTTATCTTTCAATTCAAAACAAACAGAAAAAACAAGTTTCCAGTTTTTGTTTAAAATGCATGACTATTTTCATCCAATATATTTCCTCCTCACTAATTTCTAGGTTCCAATATAATCAATCTATAGAAGTTTAAAATTCTGTATGAATTATATATGAAACTAATTAATCATCTTCGGACACTCTTCATTCAAAAAAACAAAAGTTGTTCAGCAGGAAACACCCTAAATGTAGTGTTTGCTCTCAAAATACACCTTTGCAAAGATAAGCCATGAAGACAACCACCTGAAAACTGGCCAACTAAAGTACAAAGGACTATTCTAAGACTATTCAGTACTGTTTAGGGGCGAGAGTACACCCTGATGAATTGATACAACATCAGCCTATTGTGAGATTCAAAGAACTATAGTACAAAAAAGGTAGTTTAAAACCTGGTGGGATTGTCTGATCACCTCTACATAAGCTAACCCTGGATTCTTTTCTACGTCTACCAAAGTGTAACAATTTCAACAGTTTATAAGGCCTGGTCAGAAATAGTGTGCCAGATTTAAATACACTTGTTTCAATTTTGTTGTGCTCTCATTTAAAAATATTTTCAGATGAATTTATCAAAATATAAAAATTATCTAAAGTAAAGAATGTTATTTAAAGCAAAGGGTATTAACACAATCATCAGATATCTAACTTCAATCATAACATTTTATAAAACTGATTCCCCCTCCTATATCCCAGAAAAGAAAATTAATAGGTGTCTTTTACCTTGTTGGAGACTACTGTGAAGACAATTGACAAATGTTGCTAATATAGTTGCCACATTCATCACTTGCCAGCACTGGGCAAGACCAAGAGTAAAAAGTTCATTCCAGTAAGCTTTGACCAATGATATGCTGTTCTCTTGCCTATGCAAAAAACAAAAACAAAAAAGTCAGATATTATTAAATTTTATAAACTTTATAACTCACCCATATATTTAACATTACTTAACTAAAATTACAAAGTCCAACTGTACATGAACTTGATCAATTCTGTTTTGTACAGCTGATAGAAATTGATGAGGAATTGCTTAGAAATTTAAACATTAGGTAGCTTATTAACCATTAGCTAGTATATAAGAACAGTTGCAAGTAATATTTCAAACTAAAAAAGGTTGGGCTTTAATCTCACATTTCACGGAGACAGATGGAATACTGTTTAAAAAAAAAAAAAAAAGCAGAAGTACACATTTAAAATACCTTTCCCAAGTTTTCTTTTGCCTTCAATGCATGTAAATACATTTTTAAAAAAGGGTAATTAGAATTATCTGATGGCAGGAAAGCAACCAATTTCCTGGGAGCAATGGTTTATTCTGTAAGCAGGTTTCACATGAGACACTGGTATCCCTATGTATGAGATATACACAGATTTTACTAAGAGTATCAAGAAATAACCAAAAACCAAAACCAAATCTGTTGCCACTGAGTTGATTCTGACTCATAGACTCTATAGGACAGATGAGAACTGCCCTATAGGGTTTCCAAGGAGCAGCTGGTGGATTCAAACTGCCAACATTTTGGTTAGCAGCCAAGTTCTTAACCACTGTGCCACCAGGGCTCTAGCAAGAGACAAGAAAGGTAAAAAGCCCTTTCCTGAATGTCTGAATTAGAAATCTCAGCAGCATGACAGAGTAGAGGAAGCATTAGAATAACAAGTTAAGACACCAGAGTTCTAAACCTACATCACCTACTCATTATCCAATTACAACTAGGCAAATAAGCTTCCCAAATCTGAGGCTGTCTAACTCTATAAAATGCAGAGACACCATATGTCCTATATCTTGCTCAAAGTTACTATGAACCAAAATATAAGAATTACGTGAATAAGCCATGGCATAAAGTATACGCCGGGCACTGTTCTAGGCACTGGAGAAACAGAAATGAAGATTAAGTTTGCCTTCATGAAACAGGGAAAATATAATAAACAAACAAACAAGTGTATAATTTAAAAATTTTTATATATTCTATATAAACATAATACACACTTATAATTAATTTTAGGTAATAAAAATGCTACTTATTATAAAATAGTATGATACATTAGAAAACGGGGGGAGAGTCAGGTAAGGTGATTAAAGAAAGCCTGTCTTTTTTGAGTAGAGAAAGATGGGAGAGAACTTTTAAAAAAGAAGATCTAAGGGGGTAGTAGTCTAGGAAGAAGAAAGAACAAGGGCAAACTTGCTGAGGTGAGAACGAGCAGATAGTAGGTGTTCAATAAAAACTGTTGAATGAATTACTAAATGCTGTTCTCCCTTCTTGGAATATCCTTTTCCCACATCGTTTTCTTGGTTAATTCCTATTCATCCCTTAAAGTTTAGCTCAGAGCTCACTTTCTTGACCGAAGATCCTCTTATTACATTCCTGTACCAAGACAGTTAATTATTTCCCCCTTAGATGCCACCTATACACTTTTACTTATTTCACAGTATCCTAATTTACTAGTTTAGAGGTCTGTCTCCCATACTAGAGTAAAACTTCATTGAAGGCAGAGACTCTCTTATTCATTTCTGTAGCTCAGTGAATAGCACACATGGCACATAGAAGGAATTCAGCAGATGATACCTGATCTCAGGGGAGACAGAACAGACAGAAATGAGAACTTAGAAAAAGACAGAGCTGGAAATGCTGCAGGCATGGGTTCTTTCACAGTTAAATACTCATTAAGCCAAAAAGTATATACTTCATTATAAACAATGAAATTATAAGATTTCATTTCTCTAAAGAGATTTAAGTTGGTGAGAACATCCTAACAGGAAATATGTACGTTGATGAAAGGCATTTACATTTTTTTTCTTCTTAATGTATCATTAAGAATCATAACCTTTGTACTATATTACATTTTATTTAAGAATTGAATATACTTGAAACAAATCCTAGTATTAACTTAAGAGTTATAGAAATTAATTTTTCTCACTAGGAATTATTCAGATGAAATTTGAACTCCTGGCTGATTCCCCTTTTCCATCATCTGAGAGGGACTACTTGCCATTAAAAAAAAAATAAAACAAACAAGTAAGAACCTGACTATTAAAATCAATTTGGAAGTAAAGTTTAAATGAAAAGAAAATCAATGCTTTAATGTAACCATATAAAAATGATTAACAGTAAACTTACATTCATAAAAAAAACAATTAAAAATGATAAGATACAATTTTCACTTATCAGAAAAGATGGATACAATCCAGAATTGAACTGAGAAATAAGCATTTTATACACTGCTGATGGGTGTGAAAGCTGGAGAAAAATTTGATAGCACTTCTCAAAAATTAGGGGTCCCTGGGTAGTGTAAATGGTTAATGTGCTCGGCTGCTCATCTGTAAGCTGGAGGGTCAAGTCTACCCAGATGAGCCTTGGAAGGAAGGCCTGACAATCTACTTCCAAAAAATAAGCCACTGAAATTTCTACAGAGCATAGTTCTTCTCTGACACACATGGTGTTGCCGTGAGTCAGAGTCAATTGACGGCAACTTGTGGTGGCGGTGGCATCAAAAATTAAAATGGACACCCTCTTAGACTCAATAATTCTACTTACTGAAATCCATTTTGTAGAAACAGTAACACAGACAGGCAAAGATATACAACCATATTACTGTAGCATAGTATATAATAACAATGAAAACAAGCAACAACCTAAATGTCTACTAATAAGGGTTGAGTAAGTAAGTTATAACAAATCCATCAACAGGAATACTAGGCAGTCATTAAGAACAGGGCAAATTCAAATGTGGTGCCATAGAAAGAAGTCCATAATATAAGTGTAAAATGCAAGTCAAAGAAGAGAATGTATAAATTGTGTGTGTGTGTGTTTGATTATTTAAATACGGCATGGAAAAGATCTGGAAGGCACCAAACTGTTAACAATTGCGGTAGTTATCTCTAGAGAATGAGGTTTTAACTTTATAGTTACACACATCAGTATTATTTAAAAATTTTTTAAATAGGAAAAAATGAAAAACAAACATGAAGAAAAGGTTCACGTAATTCAGTTTTCACCTTAACCTCTGATTCTTAAGTTATAAAGAGGGAACAGCTAACCAAGGTAGATACCTAGTAAACACACTAGAGGAAAAAGAACAGGCAGCTGAAAAGAAATCAGGGCTCTTATGGCCTGTGTGCTGTACCTAACAGCAAGAAAGTGCCCTGAAACTGTGGGGGACATTCAGACAAAAGATTTAGGAGTATCAGTGCAGAGGATGGGGGAATATCAAAATTATTATGTATACCCCTAAGGGAAAAAAGATGAAAAGCAGCAACTGAGGAATAAAGTAGCGGATTATTTTGTTTCCACCGTGAGCCCAAGGGGCTATAAAACTGAGTTAAGGAAAAGTCAAAAAGCTACATGAAAGCAAAAAATATCTACTTACAATTTTATCAAAAAAAAAAAAAAAAAGAAGAAATCACATTCTAGTACAGCTAGCTATGTTGTTCAGATGTTTTTTTGAAAGGTCATTAAGAAAGAAAAACAACAAGCCACCCTTAAGAAGGAGGTTCCTGAGAAAATCAGTGAAAATTACCACTTATTATCTACTTCAGAGCAGGCACTGGGTTAGATACGTTTATATTCGTTATCTCACACCTAAATGTCACAGCCCACATAGAAGTTTATTTTTCCTCCTAATTTACAGACATGGACATTGAGCCTCAGTGAGGTTAAATAACCTGGTCCAAAGACATGAAGTTAGCAGGTGGATAGAACCAGAATTTGAACCGTGTCCAAAGCCCGTTGTTGTTGTTAGATGCCGTCTAGTCGGTTCCGACTCATAGTGGCCCTATCTACAAAAGAATGAAACACTGCCCAGTCCTGCACCATCCTCACAATCACTGTTATGCTTAAGCACATCGTTGCAGCCACTGTGTCAATCCATCTCCTTGAGGGTCTTCCTCTTTTTCACTGACCCTCTACTTTAGCAAGCATGATGTCCTTCTCCAGGGACTGGTCCCTACTAATAACATGTTCAAAGTACATGAGACGAAGTCTCGCCATCCGTGCTTCTAAGGAGCATTCTGGTTGTACTTCTTCCAAGACAAATTTGTTTGTTCTTCTGGCAGTCCACGGTATACTCCATATTCTTTGCCAACACCATAATTCAAAGGCATCAATTCTTCTTCAGTCTTCCTTGTTCACTGTCCAGCTTTCACAAGCGTTTATGAGGCAACTGAAAACACCATGGCTTGGGTCAGGCGCACCAAAGTGACATTTTTGCTTTTTAACACTTTTAAAGAGGTCTTTTGCAGCAGATGTGCCCAGTGCGATGCATCTTTCGATTTCTTGACCGCTGCTTCCATGGGTGTTGACTATGGATACAAGTAAAGTGAAATCCTTGATAACTTAAATATTTTCCTCATTTATCATGATGTTGCTTATCGGTCCAGTTGTGAGGATTTTTGGTTTCTTTATGTTGAGGTGTACTCCATACTGAAGGCTGTAGTCTTTGATCATCACCAGTAAGTGTTTCAAGTCCTCTTCAGTTTCAGCAAGCAAGGTCGTGTCATCTGCATATCGCAGATTGTTAATGAGTACCTCCTCAACTCCTGATGTCCCGTCGTCCTTCATCTGGTCTACCTTCTGGGACTATAGTCTATGCTCTTCTATAAATTATGTCAAAATTAAGCAAGTAAAATGCTACAGTCAAATTTCTGAGTAGAGACTCTCCATTTAAAGCTAATATTTTGTGATTTTTTTTCCTGTTAGGAAAACAAAAAAATGACTACTGTAGTCACACTATACTATCTATTTTCAAAAGATTTTTCCCTTGAGAAGTAAAAGGAGCTGAGGAGAGAAAGTACTTAAGGTATCAGTCAAGACCCCCAATTAGTTTTTAAGCGTTAAGTTGCATAATAGTAAATGTATCTTCTTTTTTAAATACC